GGCAAGCCATTCCACTGGTTGATTGATTTCACCGTTAGGAAATTTCTAGTTCTAAGTTGCTTCTCTCTTCGATCAGTTTCCATCCGACGGTTCGTCTTGACTTCTGGTGCTTTGGAAAATGGGTTTTTTTGTAACCCCTCAAATACAGGATGCTGCAACCGTTGTAAATCCGTGCCAGTTGCCAAGTATTTGATTTTTCATCATGTTACCGCTGGCTGGGAAGCTGCGATGGTTATCAGTGCATGCATCAGTCACAGGTCTCTTTTTTCAGTGCCATTCTAATTTTGATCAGTCGCTAAACAAGGACTACCTCTAGCACGGGATCTTGAGAGATAAAATGGAATGCTAGGTTTAGTAAGTAGGCAAGACCTACAAATGGAGGGCTTCCTGTTTAAGCCGTTCCATATTTTTTCTCCCAGCGATAAGTTCTTTCCCCGTAATCTAAATAAAGTGACACTATAAAAGGTCACTCCCCAGCTGGATGCTGGCTGTTAATGTGATGTGTTAAAGTCCTAACATCTCTTTGAGCATGAGATTAGCGGGGCTCCTATAAACAGCTGACAGCATCTAGAAGGCTTTGCTGATCTTGAAAAAGCAAAGCAGGTTGAGATTGATTTAGTCCTCGGATAGGAAACCAACTTAGAAAGAAAAGTGTTGGGGAAGAAGACAGAGGCCACCTCCATATTGTTGCCAAGAAAACTACCTGGCTTTATCTCATAGGTCCATGGTGGCAAACCTATGGCATGCGTGCCACAGGTGGCATGCAGAGCCTCTCTGTGGGCACACGTGACGTCGCCCCAGTCCTAGGCCTTCAGCTGGGTTTTATAAGACCTTTTCGCTTTAGGCTTCTCTCGTCGTGTGCAAAAAAAAAAGGTTCAATCAATCAATCAATTTCAACTTCTCACGGGAAAAAAAAATCTCGCAAAGTTGGAATTGATTGATTGAACTTTTTAATCCCACCCAGTCTGCCGTTACCACCACAGCCACGCCCACCCAAGTGGCCACACTCACCAAATGGGCCACGCCCACCCGGCACCCGACGATACATAAGTGGGTTTTGGGTTGCAGTTTGGGCACTCGGTCTCTAAAAGGTTCGCCATCACTGTCATAGGTGATGATGTCTTGAGCTTATTATTCAACAAACCACACCATTAAGCCATTTCTAATACTAGAGGGTTCATCTCCTTGGATATTCGTACTTGGAATCTACTGTCATGTTGGTTCAAAATCCTTCTTTCTTTTCAGGCATGTCATTTACTCCCTTATGGACATCCTGGTGGAGTTTTTGATCCCCGATTCCCAGATGGAGGCAGCACAAACAATACCACTAATGACTTCAGTCTATGGAGAAGCTGAAAGAGCTAGTACTTCAAAACGTTAATTCAGGGGTCTTCAAACTTGGCCCTTTTATGACTTGTGGGCTTCAACTCCCAGCGTGGCTGAGGAATTCTGGGAGTTGAAGTCCACAAGTCATAAAAGGGCCAAGTTTGAAGAGCCCTGCGTTAATTCATACTAAGAGGCAAAGCCCTAGGCATGATCTCATATGAAACGTTGCTGTTGGTCTGACGCAGGAGCTGTTGAAGAAGGACCAATAGATAAAATTCTGGTAGAGACCAGGGACTCCTATAAAGGATGTTCCAGAGCTATTTCTGTCCAATAAAATAGTTATCAGTTCAAGAACCTGGAGGAATTGCAAAGGAGTTCAGACTGAGGTCTTTATTGCAAAATTTACACTTGTTAGACCTCTTATCCTATTCTGAAATAGATGTAAGGACCTCTCTACATTAAAATGAAAGACGTACAAAATTAAATGTCCTGCAAAACCACGAGGACTACATGAATATACCCGTAAGGTACTATACTGGAGAGACAAAATTAACGTCGTTTGTCGTTAATTAGGAAAAAAAAAAAAGCTTTCTATTTTGTACATCATGTATTTGTCCTTGAAATTTACAGTATTCCTGGAATCTCAGAACTACCAAGTGAGGGTTTGATTGTTTTCCAAAATTGATGTAAATGGCTCAAGTCCTTTGTTTCTGGAGAGACAACAGAACTCAACTCAATCATTTTGCAGCCCCTCAACTGGCTTTGAAGAAGTGTACTGAATTGCTATTTGTTTAACCATATGGGATGCTATTACTCATTTAGATAATTGGGATGGTTTGCACTTTTTTTATGATGGACTTGCTGCAAAGGCCAAACCAAATTGGATGAGTGTTGGTCAGGGGTCTTCAAGCTTGGCCCTTTTACGACTTGTGGACTTCAACTCCCAGAATTCCTCAGCCAGACACGCTGGCTGAGGAATTCTGGGAGTTGAAGTCCACAAGTCATAAAAGGGCCAAGTCTGAAGACCCCTGGTGTAGATCAACCATATATAGATGCACCCATCCGAGGGTGTAAGAGGTGTTTGTAGATTCTTAAGTGTGGAGTTCTTCTTTGGTTTGTCAGTCTAGCTTTAAGTATGTTTGCAGAGGAGGGACTCCCTGAATTGAATACATGTCAAAATTAAAGTTGGTGTTTGTCTACATCTTGTGTGAATTTTCTGTTGACATGTTTGGAAAGATACAAAGATCACCCAGAGTAAATGTCTACGGAGATTCTCAGTCATCCAGGTCATGGCTGTACTGACTGAACTGAAAAAGCTTCTTGGATGAGGTAATGTTTTCAAAGAAAAAGAACCCCAAGAAAGTCCAGTTGCCTTTTGGAAAAAGGCACCTTTGGGATTAGCCAGAGTAGGGAAAACACCTGTCTCCCTTAAGAGTGAACCTCTGATAATGAGTTTTCAATGCCTGTTGAGTTTAGAAGCTCCATTGGTGAGGAGGAAGGACGTGGGTGATGGTGGACACCAGATGAGAAAGCCAGAGAAAATTGATGCTGCATTTCTCTTGTGAACCTGATCAAAATTCTTCCATCCTTTGCTACACCTTGGTCTTGGACAATTCCCTGCCCAGAAATGGTCTTCATTCTGTGCCCTCAACTGTAGGGAACTGGGTCCAGGTTCCGGTCAATGTACTAGAGCAGAATCAGATAAATACTATAAGCAAAGAAGGAGTTTATCTGGTGTACTAAAATGTCCTAGCCACAATTTTTTTTGGGGGGGGGGGGGAGGAGACCCAAACTCACTTTATTTTAAAATACCCGGCAAAGTGCTCGAGTTATGTATAAATCCAGATTAGAAGTGCCGGGGAACGATCCCAAATGGCGTGTAAATTACCTACATTTAAAAAGAATATTTGCATAACGCACGAAGGGGAAAATAGCAGGAATTCTTCCCCTGGTATCCAGCACAGGCTAGACGGAGCCATTTCCTGTGTCAATAGTTCTGCCATGAAGCACTCCCAAGGATTGTGTAGTAATCCTGTACAGAGTAATCAGCATCAAGGTCAAATGGGGAACTTTAAATGAAACAGCTGGGTAGGCACCATCGCTCTAGTTCAGGGGTTCAGGCACGCTGGCTGAGGAACTCTGGGAGTTGGAAGTCCACAAGTCATAAAAGGGCCAAGTTGGAAGACCCCTGCTCTAGTTTAAGGAATTATGGAGCTGTGGTTTTAATGGGATTTCCCAGCTTCTCCGCTCCCTTGTTTCAATTATCTTCAATAATAGAAATAGTTCCTTCTGTGTCTCCTGCTTCTGTTGCCCTTTTGTCAATCTTTTAACTGATAACGTTGTGCTCTTGGGCTCAGGACCAGGAACTCTTCAGGTACAGCTGCAGTCAACATGGACAAGAATGAGAGACGTTGTGTGATGTGGCTTTCCAGAAACAGGTTAGATTGGGTGAACAAGATTGGGTCCACCTCTGCCTGGGGAGATGATACAGGTGCACGTTTTTTTTTTTATTGGCTGTGCCTTCAAGGAATTAAAGATGGCATCTGTCCTCCTATCACAGCATCTCCTTTAGGTGGAAGTTAGAATTGGAATGAAGGAGTAACATTACATATGTGGTAGCTAGACAGTTTGGTCTAGCGGTGAAGGCACCAGGATAGAAACCAAGAGACAGCTCTAGACCCATCATGGGTATGAAAGCCAAATGGGTGATTTGGGGCCAATCACCCGGAGACAGTTCTAGTCCCACCTTAGGTATGAAAGCTAGCTAGGTGTTTGGGCCAATCACCAAGAGACAATGACTTCTAGTTCCTTAGCCACGAAAACTGGTTGGGTGATTTTGGAGCTCTAGTCCCAGCTTAGATATGAAGTTCTAGTCCCAGCTTAGATATGAAAGTGAGCTACATGACTTCGGATCAATTACTATCTCTCAGTCCAACCCACTTCATAGGGTTGTTGTAGGAAAATAAGAGGATTAGATATGTTTGCCACCTTGAGTTGTTAATAAAAATAATAAAAGTGGGACATAAATAAATAACAAATCATTAAAAAAATACCCACTAATAAAAACAGATTGCCCAAACATCCAATCCCTATGTTGTCTTGAGTTTGTTCACACATTTTATGAAACTAAAATATAGATCCTTGTATTTTTGAGCGAACATAACGTATGAGCCCTAAATATTGTCCTAAAACTACAAATAATGATTTAGCATTATGAATAGGTGAGCCCAGCCATCATGGTTTAAAACGAACTAAGGTTTCTCATAATATAATATCCAACCTTGAACCTTGACCTTCATGCACTTCTGCAGCTGAAGTTGAGAATTACTAGAGCAAAATTGGTCTCCAAGACGTTCCTTTGTTTCTCTTTTCAAAACCAAGTTTTTTGTTTTAAAGTTAAATATCACTTGACTAAACGGGTTTTCCTTCCTGTTCCCAAGATACTTGTAGATCAAATGGTCAAGAGTGTACTCAGTGAATAATTTTGAAGAATTCGGAAGCAGTGGGGTTCAAAGTCCTTCAAGTTTAAGGTCTTTAAGACCCTTTGCAAAACAAAGAAAAGACTTAGTGAAGTATACACAGTTGTTTTCAAGTGCTGAAAGTACCTCCTGGATCTTTAAAGAGCTCAGGAAGTATATTTATCTTAAACAAAGATCACAGAAGTAAGTGTGTGTGTGTGTGTGTGTGTATGTTAAAAAGAAAAAAAACATTGCTTTCTGAATACGGTAAATTTTTTCTCTGCAACATCATCTTCAATGCAAATTAGCGCGTAGTTCTCACAACTGACTATTTCTTTAGTTTGGAACGTTTTAAAATTCTCTATTCACACTACCCCTAATTTAGTCTTTTTATGTAGTTGTTTAGATCTGGGAGAAAGAATTTATTTCATGCTTTGCAAAGGGAGTCCTTGACTTATGACTGAGCCCAAAACTGCTAAGCGAAACATTTGTTAAGTGATTTTTTCCCCCACATTCTTGCCACGGTTGTTAAGTGGAAGTGAATTGTCAACAAGTCAATCATTGTACCAACAATTCACTTGCACCGTAGGGGTAACTGGAAACGACCAGTCTTCCAGTTTTTTCCACTAGTGCGTTGAGGCCCTGTGTGTGTTGGAAGTATTTATGTTAAAACAAGTGTATTGGTATCCCTAACGACGTTGTAAACATTCATACTTTTTGTCAGCAGAAAAAAAAGAGTGCTGTTCTATCATTGAATGGTCGCTAAATGAAGTGTTGTAAAGCTGAGGATTACCTGTATGGCCACTTAGGTCCCCTACAGCTGTTCCAGCCCTGATACTATATCAGAGTTTTACAGCCAGAACCATCTAACATCTCTGCTCCTGCTTTTAATTGTGGTTGTTAATTAACAGCCACACGAGGTTTTTTTTTTCCCCTTGGAAGGAACATCCAAATGAACAAGACAGTATAAGTAATCCTTGACTTACAGCCATCTCTTTAGTGACTGAAGTTACGGCACCACTGGGGGAAAAAAAAGACTTATAACCAGTCCTCACCGTCACAGCATCCCCACAGTCAGGTGACAAGCTTGGCAACTGGCATGTACCTATAACAGTTGCAGCATCCTGGGTATCATGGGATTGTCACTTGCAACCGGCTCCCGACAAGCAAAGTCAAAGGGGGAGAACCAGATTCACCTAACATCTGTGTGATTCACTTCACAATTGCGGTGATTTGCTCAACCTCGGCAAAACAAAAAGGGTGGTGGTGGAAATGCCCATGATTCCTTTAACAACCACCTTGCTTAGCAACGGAAATCCTGGTCCCCATTGGGGTTGAAAGTGGAGAACTACCTGCATTAAGAGATGGAGAAAATTGGAAATAATGGCAGAGGACGCTGAGATTCTATAGCCCCCAAACAGCAGTATGTATATGGAGGTGACAAGTGTTCAGTGGTTGATAACTGGGTGATACTGTAGGATCCAGAGTAAACATTTCAAGTAAGCTTCTTAAGACAAGTAAATGTTTCCCTGTCCAGCCAAAGGTGCATCGAACGCTGTTACCTTCCCACCGAAGTGGTACCTATTTATCTACTCAC